GAGGTGTAGTGAAAATACGACTTTGATAAGAGTTGGTTGGTATTAATTAGACCTTAAATGTTATGAGACGTTAGCTAAGATGAAATACGATTATTAGTGAACCTAATCCATTTTTTTTATTGTACCTCTATATTGTGGTTCGACAAGTGATCTGACAGAGAACCAAAGTTATCGACATAGCCTAAAGGATCAGTAAGCTGAAGTGGCAGTGGGGCGGTCACATTTGTCGAAGAACCGATAACCGTTGGGGTAAACGTGTTCTAGAGTGCAGACTGCGTCTAGGTAAACGTAGTATCGGGCGCTTCGATCCCTTCAACCATTTTGTCGTGAAAGAGTAAAAAAATAAACACATATACATCCTTACAAACTTTTACATTTATAATATAAAAAGCCAATGTGACATATACCAATACACACAGCGCCATCTATACCAATACTTTTGTTTTTCCTCGGGAATATCAAATTTTTCCGGGATAAAAAGTACCCTATTATTTAATCTAGACTTCTAACTATACATCTGCAAAAATTCAAAGCAATCGGTTTAGTAGTTACGGCGTTAAAGTGGAACAAACAAACAAACAAACACACTTTCCGATTTATAATATAAGTAAGGACAACAAATTTTAATCACCGCGCCTTTAAATCAAGCATAAAATTCCATAGCCCAAAAGGACCAAAACTGGTCCTTTGGGACAAAACCACGTAGTTATTTAAAATAGACACAATACAAAAAGGAAACTCAGCTCGTTGTACAAAACTGTAAAGGAGACAAAGAAAGGACTGTATTCAATGCGACACAAAGCCTTAGTTACGAAAGAAACGTCTCTCGAGACACACAGATGTTAATTGAAAATAGCGAAGAATTGAATTCACTTGAAAATTTTCGCTGATATTCTGCAAGTGTTTGTGTATCCGTTGATTATAAACTTTTGTGTTAAGCATGGTAGAGCTTGTTTGAATGCATTGTTTATTTATTGCTGGATGTTGCTGTGTTATTTTTTTTTATTTAGTTCAATATGTTTAAAATTGTACTGTAGTTGAAATATAAGTCTTTTATAAACTACGTTTAAAAATACCGACTTCAACCCACTCTTTTTTTTAAATCTTCTCCTAAGACTTTTCTGATAACCGCATCACAATTGGTTCAGCCAATCGCGAGATAATCGATCGAATCTATAAACATACAGGTCAAACTGAGAACGTCCTTTTTTGAAGTCGGTTAATAAATAGTTGACTGTGTTGAAGATATTTCGATTCTTGTTCTCTTTATTACTGAGTTTTATTTGTGAGACAAAAAAAACTATTCTTACTTTACGAGTCTGTACAAAGATAGGGGCTTAGATTGGGGGCTTAGATTTTTAATCCACATTAAGAGGTTCTTCAATATTAAGTTACCTTTTTTATAAAGTTTTATTTCACATTTTCACCCATTGAAAATAGACATCCTAATGAAGTATAACTAGACCAACGATCTAAGGCCTAATATGAATATATTTTTTCGCTGCACTACAACCGCGCTGCGCTGACCTTACCAAGGCAACGCCCCAACTGACAGAACAAAAGCTTTACTTTAGCAAACTCAGTCCTTACAATCCGCACCGCACTCTACCATCAGGACGATATATTACATTGCAAACCAAAAAAACAAATGACGCTTAGTTTGTAGCGAACGTTTGTAAAAACTCAACAGTATTCACCAAACACGGAGCAAAGTATCTAACGTTAATATTACACGGACTTGGCCTGAAAAAGAATATATATTTTCTTGTTTTATTAAAGCAATTTTCGTTGCCGCAGGGTCACCGCTTTGTTTCGGTATTGTTTTAGTTTTTAAGATGGCTTATCCTATTGTTTTAATTGTTGTTTTAGACACGAATCTGTGACTAACAATTAGATTACATTGGTATTATTTATTTGGAAAAATGTGGGCTTTTGTTTTATGGAATTTAATTTGGAGTATCGTAAAGGTTAAAGTTCTTATTGTGTTTAGTTGGAAAAATAAGACTTTAATATTTTAATGCTTACTTGGTAATTAGATGATTATTTCTTGACGTAGTTTGCCTTTGTTTGGCTTTGTTTAACACTCACTTTTTCTCAGTTCAGCTATAAGTTTAAAGTCGTTCATTCTCTACTTTGTCGAAATATATAAATCAAGAACTCCAATTACCTATTAATATTTTGTCTATTTAAATAATTTAACATACTTTCGACACTCAACTAATAAAACATTCAATGTTACACATAAACAAATGTGTCAAATTTACAACCATAAAGAAATAAATCAAAAACCTTCCTACTGGAACTTTTGATCCGCATTCCTCAGAAGCGAGGATTTCACATGATACAAGTACCTAGTTATGTGGGTCGCAAGTTGTATATATATATATATATATATATATAGCGAAAACTTCTGACGTATATAACCAATAAATAATCATGAATATTCCCTCCGAAGTTATTGCGTAAGTTTGCGAGATACGCAGAATTTCCCTTTTAAGTAGCAACCCTTATAAAATAGGGGTTAATGGAGCTGCCTGGAGTATGAATATTGTGGCAACTAAATCTTTTAGGTATATTGCCACGGACGCCATCTTCGGACCGCAGTGTTGAGGATTAATATTCACATGCAAATTGTGATTAGTGCACTGTTAATAAGATTTATTTTTGTAATTAAGTCATTAGGTGTCACACTATATGAAATTATTTTGACTGAATTGATTGAAATGTTTTGATTTTTTGATACTTATTCTCAGTCGAATAATAATTCCTTTATTTATCCACATTTATTTTTTGAGTCTCACAAATAATATTGTTTTTCAAAATAAAATGACTCGTTGGCCGAGAGGTCGCAAGTGCGACTACCGGGTTTTTTTTTTTTTTTTTTTTTAAGGGGGGAAAATCATCGAATGACTGCTCCCGCCTGGGTGAGGCGGAAGGGAGTGTCAGACTCTTACTGACTAAAAACCACCCCGTTCCTTCTCCTGCACGTCGAGCCGGAGCCCCGGTTACCCGTTAGGTTCTCCGCGACTCCGAATCGGCATCGGCCCTATTGGGCCCCATCTGTGGTGGTCTGATGGCTCTTTGAGGCGCGCGCGGAACGCGACGCGCCGTACGCTCGGGTCTGTTTCTGGTCGGACGGGGAGCCACCCATGCTCGCCGTCCGCAGGCCCGCGCTTACGGTGGCCGGAGATCGTCCCGCGATCCCCGACGCCCGGTGTGTCCTTCGCGATGGCTGGGTCGCGAGGAGGCAGCGCTTCGCTGCCTCACGCGTCCCGCCTCCTCCTTAGCTAGCATGACTGCTTCGCAAAAGGAGGAGACGGCATCCCAGTCCCCCTCGCTCCGCATCATGGCCTGCACTAGGCCCGGACGCGAGAGGTCGCCATCGCCGATCACTTCCCTGAGGGCACGGCGGTGCTCAGCCCACGCAAGGCATTCCGCTACGGTGTGTTCCACCGTGTCCTCAGGGCGGTCCTCGCAGTGATGACACCCGGGCGTTTCCTCCCGCCCCATCAGACACAGGTACCTCCCGAAACTTCCATGTCCGGTGAGGACCTGCGTCAGGCGGTAGGTGAGGACGCCGTAGCGTCTCTCAAGCCACTCCTCAAAGAGGGGACTTACCGCTGCAATGGCAGCGAGCCCAGCCCTCGGTTGCGACAGTCGTTGCTGCCATTCCGCCATGAGATCGCGCCGGAGCTCATCCCGCCACGCACTTATCTGGCGCGGCAGCGGAGTTTCGCCCCGGCGACGTGCCTCCGCGCGCATGTTATACACGCGCGCGAGCACCTTCGCCTCCAGATCCCACGGCGGTAATCCGGCAAGGAGGTTCGCCGACTCCCCAGCGATCGTGCGGTATCCGCGGATCATTCGGATCGCCATGACCCTCTGTGACTTGAGCAGCGTCCGAGCAGGACGCCGCAACAAGTTCGGCGCCCAAACAGGGCGCCGTAGAGGGCCATGGACCGCACGACCCCGGCGTATAACCTCCGGCAGGAGGCGTTTGGCCCCCCGAGGTTGGGGAGGATGCGTTTGAACGCAGCCCCCGTCCTCTCCAACTTTGGAGCCAAACGTCGGAAATGCTCTATGAAGTTCCACCGACTGTCGAGGACGAGTCCTAGGTACTTCATCGCCGTCTCGACGCCGATGGTAACCCCTCCCGCCGTTATTTGGGACCCACCCGGAGGTGGCGCGTTCCCGCGGCCATGAAAACACATGGCCTCGGACTTGTGGAGCGCCACCTCGAGTCCCAACTGCCGGATTCTTTCAACGACTGTCGCAACCGCTATCGCCATTAAGTCGGCCGCCGCCTGGTGCGACCTCCCGTGCGCTAGCACCAGCGTGTCGTCGCGTAGCATATTGTGCTAACGCCGTTCGGGAGGTCGGTGCGCAGCACCCAGTCATAGCCGATGTTCCACAGGAGCGGCCCCAGAACCGAACCCTGTGGAACACCGCGTGACATCTCTCGCCGGTTCCACTCGCCCCGGTGACCGGGGTAGCTGACGGACCTGTCCGTCAGGTAAGCGTCACGACGGAGGTAGGTAGGCACCCGATGATATCGGAGTGCCTCCAAGATGCAGCTCCAGGGCAGGGAGTTGAAGGCGTTGGCGATGTCCAGAGACACCGCCACTACGACCTTACCCCTGGACACTGCAGTCCCCGTCGTGAGGTCTCTAACGCGCATGATGGCGTCCACCGTGGAGCGCCCTCTGCGGAAGCCGAACTGGCCGTCCGACAAGTCCGGCCCAATGTCCGTCAGGTGCGCGACGAGGCGGTTCGAAATGATTCTTTCGAAGACTTTCCCCACCTCGTCGAGCAGCACTATGGGCCGGTACGCGGACGGAGAGTCCGCAGGGCGCCCCGTCTTCCGCACGAGGACCAGTTTGCCCGCTTTCCAGAGAAGCGGGAACTGGCCTCTCTCCAGACATGCGCTGTAGAGACCAATCAATCGAGGCCCGAGAGCCTCTGAGGCCAGGACCCATGCCTTGCCATGCAGGCCGTCGGGTCCTGGGGCCGGGTAAGGGGTCTCGGGTTCGATTCCCAGATGAGGCAAAGCATTATTGGGTTTTTAAAAATTCTCAGTAGTAGCACGTAGTCTGGGATTGTGCCCGATGTATGGCAATAGGCTCATCCTCTATTACATGGGACTCATAACATAAATAGTGAAAAGTGGATGTTACATTGTACAGTGGCATAATGTGCACCTCTGCCTACCCCTTCGGGGATAAAAGGCGTGATGTTATGTTATGTTCAAAATAAATTCATTAGCAGACCCCAAAGTCTATGTTAAAGGCACACCTCAAAATTTATTTTTTACTTATTTTCATAAAATATTACATCGCTTATTCGTCTTGAAAGCAAATTAGCAAAATTAAAGGCAATATGGGGGATTTTGTACAATATATTGAGCTATACAAAACCAGTTTATTAACGTCTCTTTTTGTACGATGCTTCCGCAGACTCGACGGTCAATTTATACTGGAAACGCGTAGTCTGATGTAGCTGTGTGCACAATATCGATACGAGCCCGGAGCAATATTTTAAATACAGTGTTAAGTACTTAATTCAATCATTAACAATTTTGAGATCCATTAGTGCTGCCCGGTGTATCGAGCTTTTGGTTATAGCTATTGTAGTTTATTTAAATTGTCCCAGTTTTGAAACGAAATTTAATGTTTGTAATATTTTTAATAATTTTGGAGTGATTAAATATTTTAACGCATATTGCCTAGTAAATAAATTACTAATACATGTATGTATAACATGCTTTCTACAATGTGTATTTTTTTTGGAAAACGTCAGTTAAGTTATTGATTAATATTATTACAGCTTAATGTAAGTTGAATCTATTATTATCACATCAAAAAATCTGTTGATGTGATATCTTACAATCGTAAGTGGCCACTTTTGACCAAAGGCCTCTTTTTGCACTGAGAAGGTTAGAGCATTAATCACCATGCTTGAAATTATAAGCCCAGGTTTCCTTACGATGTTTTCCTTCACTCTTACATATTAATATATTCCAGCCACAACACAAAAATAAGTGTAAGTAATTCTGATTTCATTGAACATTAACTAGTTAATAAATAAATGTCAAAAACGCAATAGTGAACTATCCGATCTATTTAATAAAATTATGGAAGAAAATATATTCCAAAAATCTCATTTATATTCTAATAAAACATTCTATTGCAAATAACGATACACGCTAATCACAATTTCGGAGAAGTGGATGAAAACATCACAATAAAAATGTAATAATAATAATCTTCTTGGTATACGAAAATAATATAAATCAGTATATTAATAGATAGATTATCTTCATAAGCTTTTGTGATGAGATGAACATTAGGCGTCTATAAACGTCCAGTGTCTATAAACTGACCAATCGACATGGATTGTTTGGTTTCTAGATTGGGTATCAAAAAAGCTTCCAATTATTTGTTTGGTTTCAAACGCAAGCGAGTCAAATATTTTTGTTCATACGTACATACATAATACATTTATATATACACTAGGCTAGAAATGGTAATGGTGGCTCGGAGGTCTGAGATGCGCTTCTAATGCACGAGGGTGCGGCTTCGAAACCTACCAACGACAAGTATCAATGTGACTTTTTCAGAGTTACATTTACTTTCTAAGGGTATTTAGACATTACTGACAAACGGTGAAGGAAAACATCGTTAGGAAACTTAGACTTATAATTTCTAAATATAAGTTTGAAATCGCAAACGCGCATTGAGCAAACGTGGTGATTAATGCTCAAACCGTCTCCGTGTGAGATGAAACCTTTGGTCAGCAGTGGCGACTGATAGGCTGTTGATATACACTAAGCTTAACAATTAAACCTAGTGTACATAAATATATTAAAACATATGCTTAAGTTTATAAAACTACCTAAACTCTGCTTGCGATTTTGTAGTTATAACAGTATTTCTTTATTTCCTTATTTTGGGGCAAAATAACTATGTTCTAATTAATAGACAGTGCATTATTCATTGGTCAACTAGTGATTTTTACTGTTCATATTTTAAAATTCATTTGCAAAATACTGAGCCATCAACATCATGTCAGGGAATTAGAACCGAATCAACTTAAAGCCTAGGATACACTAGGAGACACAGGTCTCACGACATGTATGACATGTATCTGTCAAGCGAAGCCGGCCAATATACAATAATAATAATAATAATAATAATAATAATAACTCTTTATTTCAGACTCTAAGATCCATAGTTACATGCACAATATTTATAAATACAAATATAATTATAAAATATAACAAAAAAAAAAATTGATAATTGTAGGTATATGTAAATAAACTAATTAATAACATAATAATAGGAGGAAAAAAAAAATATGCAAATTAGGTGACCATAGCCAACCATCGTCTGTACGTTGCAGTCAAATGCAGGCGGTCAGCCAAACTCGTAACAATACCATTCTTACACATGCCAACTCTGGATATAAAGGAGGCTATCCTTTTGCGCTGTATGGCATTAAAGGTGTCAATACGAGCATCAAAAAACATCCCCGAAGCACTGCAACCTCTCGGTAGTCCCATGAGTTGCCTGTAGACGTTGTTGTATGTGACTCTGATGGCATTGTGCGATTTTTTTGTATAATTAGTCCAGAGTTGACACGTGTAGAACGTCTGACAAAATGATTTAAACAGTGTTACTTTCACGTCAGGCGCTGCACTACAAAATTTTCTGGCGATCATATTGCCCACTACGCACAGAGCACGTCTCTGTCGCTCTATATCCTCATCATCTTTCAGGTTGGAGGTTACAATGTGACCCAGGTACCTGAAATGCTGAACAACTTTCACAGTATGCCCATTTAAGCGCAGCTCCGGCACATTTCCGGGCCCCTGTCTCGATCCAAAGACGACCATTTCCGTCTTCCTTACGTTGTATGTAAGATCGTGCTCTCGCGCATACCTCTCGCAAACACTAACTAGCCTTTGCAGCCCCTTGATCGTAGGACTGAGCAGCACCATATCGTCGGCATAGCTCAGATTGTTGACATATCTGCCATCCAATCTCAGTCCGACGGGGTGTACCGCTCAGTTCCACGACCAAATCATTAACATAATAGTTAAAGAGGTCAGGTGAGGTCACCCCGCCCTGCCTCACACCACATGACAGTCTGTATGGATCCGACATTTCAGTGTCCCATCTGACGCTGTTGGTCTGATTACTATACCAGTATGCCATCAGACCAACAACCTCAGAGGGAACTTCCGACCCGTGCAATTTTGACCATAGAAGGTCATGATTTATCGTATCAAATGCACGGCTCAGGTCCAAAAAACATGCGTAGACTGTGGTATCGTTCTCGGTGTAATACCTAACAACCTCCTTAAGCGAGAAAATAGCAAGGTCGGTCGATAGTTTAGGCCGAAAACCAAACTGGCCATCATCAATACCCAACTTTGTGATGTGTGCATGAAGAGCTCGCTCAAGGATCCTGGCTGCAATCGTCGCCAAGGAGATGGGTCTATAGTTGGACACGCTCGAGATATCACCAGTCTTTTTTTGGTACAGGTACCACTAAGGTACGCATTAAAGCCTCCGTAAGTAACAATGCTTCACGCAGAGATTAAAGAGCCGCGCCAAGACGTCACATATATATCTGCCGCGCAAAAAGTAGGTGTTCTATACTAAGGCCGTCGTGGCCCGGAGACCTCCGCGCTTCATATTCTTAAGATGTCTTCAATAATTTTCGGATTTATGTTAACGCAGAGAGGCTCCGAACCCCGACCGCTCATAATATGACTAAACGTTTTACTATTATTATTAACATTATTTTCATTGAAATGATTCCTAAAGATGTTTGCTATTTTTTGTTTATTTTCTCCCTACTTTACTGTATGCTACTTCTATTGTCTAATTTTTTTGTTTCCTTCCAAAACTCTATGAAATTATTATTTGAGCGGTGCCTAGCTAATATTTCATTTTCATTTTATCTTGGTTTTTCAGTACATATTTATGCGCGGCTTTGAACTCCCTGCGTGACGCAGTCATGTTATCAAAATAATATCCCGAGCGTGGCCGACCATGTATCACCCATAGAGAAAACATTTTCTGGCCCTGGTGTGGTAGCGCCTGACGTGATAGTTCCAACCTATTACTTTACCTGATTTACGACCCTTATGTTTTTATATCAAAATTGCCGGTGCGCTCTGCCGATGACTGCAGCGTATGAAAATACTGTGTAGAATGAATCTATACGTTTAAAATGGCATTCATTCTTACACAATATATCCTTTCATAACATTTCAATTCACAATCATTGTCATATCTATCCATCAAATAAAAGAAATTTTCGTCACATAATTCAGAATACATTAACGTTTGTTCCCTGTCCCTGGTGCCCCAAGTATGATTTTTATTATTTTTAATTTTATCGTTACTATCACAGTTAATTATCTTACGGCTAATTGTATTGAAGTTACAATCTATGACTAGAGGAAAATGGTCAGAACCTGTAAAGTCGTGCCAAACATGCACCGACGACACCAGTCGAGCCGCAGCCTCAGTTGCCAGGCAGTGGTCGAGCCAGCGGCACGATCCGTGTGCTCCGCTCACAAACGTGAATGTATCTGGATCAAGCCTATCTAAGTCCACACACACTAGTGATTGCTCGCGACAATAGTCAATTAACTCTTTACCGAAAAGAGTATTTGGATGCGCGTTAAAATCACCCAGCACAAGGACACACTCGACTTCAGCGCACTCGATCACCGCACTTATCTGCGCTAAGCAGTCAGTAAATTCTGGTAGATTTTCTAAGTCGTCAGTTGAAAACAATAACAATGACAACGCGCAACTTATGTCCACAGTGACGTCATGTCCAAAGCCCCGCAACGTCGCGCCACTTCAACCAAAGTCGCTGGCGACATCTGTCGCTGGACATTTGTCCCTTAGTGTATCAAAGGCTTAATGCATTCAGTAAAAACTGATACGATAGCATTGTATTATCAACAACAAAACTCAACGTGCACATTGAAGTATATTACGTAGAATATAACAGTAACTGAGAGAATAACCACGCTATTACTGAAATGAATATAGTTGACATCGGGGTGAAACAATTACACTGGTTTGGACATGGAAGTAGGATGAACTAGATACACCTTTCTTACTTAACTGTGCTTCGTAAACTGTGTGCTGTTATTTAAAATGGGTTCATTTGTTACATCGTGTGTAGCATACTGTTTTCAAACTTATGGTTAACATAATATTTCTACACCAGCAATGGTAGTGTATGTGAAACAATATTTAATGTAAAACTTCAATGTACCATATACTTGGAAATAATTGACATTCATTCATTCATTCATTCATTATTATAGTTTTCTTGTATATTAACATATGAAATAGTTGAAATACTCTTTAACAATAACTCTGAAACTTTCATACTCAGAATATAAAAGTTTATAAAATCTCTTTGAAATATCTCATTCACACACACCAGTGTGTGTAACTTCGTATTGTGTGACATTAGGATTAAGTTTAGCCATTATCAGATACGCTATCTAGTAAATCTATATCCTTGGTAGGGGCAGTGCTAACGGTTCGTAGGTCGCGCAAACGATGTACAAGAGTACTTAGAGGTCGGGGAAGGTTACTTGGAAAAAGATGGCCATTTGTAAGCATATTATGTGGTGTGAGCCCACATTTGTAGGCAGTTTCAGTTGTTGTGTAGATGTAATGTTGCTGTGAATGCCCTTTTTTGGCAATTTCGTGGATGTATGTGTAGGCAAGGTTGTGTTTTGTTTTGTTTTAAGGTCGACTTCGAACCGTTTAAGCCAAAACAATTGTGTATGCATCACAATCAATGCAGGTCAATTGAAAATAAAACCTATATTGATTAAAAATTACGCTGTTAATTTTTTTTATTTTTGGAATCATTTTAATCTATGATTAGTTGTGGTGTGGGGACGAATGCGTCAAAATAATGTAACAACAAATAAAATATTTTTAAATTTGAATATTTAATTTTCACACATCAAAAAATAAACTTCAAACTAACATCACAAAATTCCGATTAACCCTTATGTTATGAACACAGCATTTTAAACCCTAATTCAATTTGGTCCTCTAGTTCTAACATTCACATTCACGTAGTCTAGTCCGGATGGATGTATCCCCTCAGGATGTAATACCGTTTAGTGGATAATGAACTGACATTAACGAGTTGCGGGACTCAACTGGCCCGATTCGAATTGTTTTGTGAGCACTGTTTTTGAATGTAACATTCTAAATTGCGGCCGGCTGATTGGTCTGTTGCTGACCAATTGGTAAGTGGTAATGGATTTGTAAATGGAATATGGAATGGCGGTTTGTTTTGATTGTTAATGAAGTTTTTTACTGGCCAGTATGCAAGTGTTGTATAGTACACGTGTGGGCAGAAATACAATTAGACCGCTAAAAATTGATTTATACACATATTTTGTAGCTAAAATTCACAACAAAAATATATTATACCTTTCATATTGCAGAAAAATAAAGCTTGAGCTACAAAACAAACAATGTATTACGTGATAAATAATAATGTGTATCTAATACTGAACTATATAACATTATTCTTTGCAGATAGTGAGTCTATTTGAGTATTTTGGTCACGGATATACTAGAACTATTGCGGTAGCCAAAACCCGGCTGGCCTCAGAAAGTAGATCCAAAGCTCAGGAGTATTATATCACGTGCAAGAAAAATAGTGAGAAGGCCAGGTAAGTAAGATTTCATAAATAAACAAGTCACTTCGTACAAATGAAAACTCGAGGTAATATCACAAATTCCGGTTAATATCACAACAGCAGCAGCGCCTCTGGAGAAAATTTTTCACAAATAAATAAAACCGCTGATTCAGACATACCCTATTTCATACGGAGTACGGACTCAATTTTCTTGAGTGCATTACGGTTACCAAATAAAATATTATTCGTTTTGGCCGGGTGGTCGTTACTTAGCAACCAGCGTGGTCATAACTCGGGAACCGGCCGGTATAAACAACCGGCAACCCGATATTTTATTGGCGGATTTATGCGGATATCCGCGGGGACATGGTTTTTGTTAGGGTTATTTTATGGAATTTGCATGTGGGGTAATGTATCGTTTTCGGATCGGTTGGGTTCGTGGTTCGGGTACAGAGTGGGCAAGGGCAAATTGTGTTACGGCTCTTCACATCCGATAGGAGCCTGTTCAAACTATAAATAGGGGTCAAAAGTAAAGTTCGTGGTGTGAAATTGATTACCGGGCGTTCGGAGTGTTGCTGATGCATGTTTTTAGACGAGGTATCTTTTAAGTAAGGGTTAAAGGTAAATTATGTAAAATTCATGCATTATTTATGTATAGGAGTCGAAGGCAAATTTTACGAGAAGTTGTTTCTAAAATATTGACTTTCTTCAAAATAAACTTCAATGCAGGTTTCTCATCTTATTGAATCAACTCGATAACATTTCCCAATCAAAATCAATATCAAAACAGTTTAAATCAAACACCAATAACAAACAAACAGCTATTTATATTGCAATGGTATTTGCATTTCCATCTTTTTCAATCAATCCCTTCATGTTGCGAAACCCGGGATCGGGGCCCAGGACCCGGCCCGTTGCCATAGCAACCAGTCAACAGCCCGAATAATTCCGATGCCAAGATTAATCGATCGACATCTGCGAAAGGCGGACAGAGTGTTCCCAGATTAGTCAATTGGGATTACTTTGTAACGTTTTCATAGAATTTTGACCCTTATTTTAGGTGGCTAACAGTGATTTTCGCTTGGGGTGTTAGGACTTGGGTAATAAGTCGCGGGAGGCTCGTTCGGAATAAGTGTACTGTTTATTCGAGCCTAATTTATGTGGTTCTCTTATTGTGAGCAATGGTCACGTCATAAACAGAGCTCCGTATATTTCCCCGCCATTTTTGTGTCGAACAAAAGCGAGTAATAGACATGTAGCCGTAAATTGATTCTGAGATATGAAATGGTATAGATAACCTATTATTTTATTTCATCGAACTTTATTATGAAGTAACTGGTGATGAAGGAACGTGGTAATGGAACATGATACATAAAGGCATGAATTGTTTATACGAATCTCGCCTTTAAGTCTTCGTAAATGTTAGTAGAGATTATTTATTTTGTTGTTTAACATTAAACAAACAAACAAATATATTTATTTCCATTTTGTTCACATTAGGTGCAATTTAAGACTTTTACAAAAAAAAAGAAAAGTATTGAATTTATTTCAATTACAACATTTAACACAAACATTTAAACAACGACATAACAGTTATTAACTCGTCGAGTACCGCCATTATAGACAAAATTAAAGAACAATAGGTTGCGGTCACCGGTGTCCTCGCGGTGTGTGACAGTTTTTATTAGATTATATTTAAAAACTAAAAATAATGAGTTACTCACGGAAATATATTGAGAACAGCTCTACTTGTTTCGAGTCACGGAGGGACTTCCTTGATAAATAAGTGAGTAACTCTTAGTTATTAGATAACTCAGCATGTTTCACGATAGTTATTATAAAAACTGAAGTTAAATACTACTAATATTATAATTGTTTAAGTTTATAAGGATGTATGTGAGTGACTGTGTGTGTATGTGTATGTATTATAACATTTTTCTTACGAAAAATACTATTATCTTAATCAAACGTAACTACCTACCTACAAACATGTCTACAATACAATCTCCACAAGCTACATTAGACTTTAACTAAGTTTCCACCTTGATATTTGAATAATATATTATCCTTAGAACGGAAATTCAGTGTAAACTAAGTCAAGTAACAATGATTGATCTAAAAACTAACTCGAGTAACCGTACTTCAATATAGAATGTTTGCGGAGCTCTCTTGAGCTAAATTTACTTTTGCAAAGTTCAAAATCGAGTAACATACATGTTATTTTGTGAAGAATAATCTTTGTGTCTTTGTATTACTTTTGGTCGTTTGTATAACATCATACAAATTTAGATATTATTGAATTGGATTAAATTAATATTATTAGATAGGTTATTCAATATTATGCTTTAAAGAGGTGAGATGTAGTGCTTTTGCTCGTTATATTGTGCGAATATATAAAGTAAGGTTTGCATAGTGACTAGACGAATGGCTGAACTGCACAACGTATTGCAGATTCGACTCCTTCACGGAACATGTCTTTGTGTTATCCACAAATTATTATTTTAAGTCATCTGTGATTAAGTTCAATGGTGTCTTTGTATAAAATTAGAAGTATTTGTTAATAGGCCGAAGCTTTATTATAAAATAACTAAAATAACACCATTGATAAAGTAATGACACAATAATTTTAATATAAAAATTAACAATGACACCCAATACTCAAACCTATCATTTGACACACAATGAAGTTATTCAGAATCCAGACGAACAATAATTCTGAATAACAACAAAGTAATTAAATGAATGACAATATACTATTCAGAGTAATTTATGTGAGTATCAGATCATATTCACACAGCAATCAGTGTTGATAAGGGCAATCAACCGAGTGATTTCAAATTCCCTAAGTAATTTTAGATCATGCTTTGATTTGTGTGAATCTAACGTTATGAGACTATCATTGGCTTAATGCTTGACGTACCTAATTGTACATAGCTAATTAGGTGTTGCTAACTATATTTATGTTATGTTCTTTTTTTAAATCATCTAGTTTTAAAACAAAAATGTGTAGATTACACAAAGAGATGCTCCGTCCGAGAATTACACTCGCTTCATATTACACGTTAGGCGATTGCCCAGCCACTGCGCCAATCGTGCCATCAAAATGGTTCTTATTTTGGGGTTATTATCATTTCCGAGGCAGGCATAAAGGTCACACCATATTAGCTCTACTTCAAATACAACATTTTGCAACGCTATCCACTGTCTCGGATATAGGACAAAATAGCGAATGATAAGACTCAGGGGATGTGATTTGTCGAGGTCACGATCTTCAATAGTGAGGACATATTTCGTTACGTAGAAATCTGATTCGCAATCTTTAATTCGGAGTCAGTTAAAAAGTATGAAATAGTGTCCTTCGAGATATTATGCAAAACTAACCGATACATGCAAATATTATAACTGAAACATTATCAATACAAATTACAATTGCCAAAGCAATAGAAACCATAGCAGATACAATATTAGAAACACGATAGCATGAAGATAGGTGACGAAATAACAGAGCAATCTAGATCTATGATTGGATAACATATCGTACGTGTGGAATATTTCGGAGATGGGAATGGAGAGCAGATATGTATTGAGTGAGCGATAACATATCAAAGATTAGTTACGTTTTTTGATATTTTTCAAGATATAGTTTTATTTTGAGGGTAAATTGCGTTGTTAGATACAATCCTTGATAGTGTATTGTAATAAACACAAGCTGAATTTAAATAAATGTAAATATATGAATGGTTAAAATGTAAGTACCAAAGGGTTTCTGAATTTGATTCCTGAATCATCAGATAAAGTATTATTGTGGTCATTCTTATGCAGGCTATAAAAAATATAAGAATAATCAGTCATTTTATTAGTTCCTTTTTTGAAACTTTTGTCTCAAAAAAGCAAAAACAGAAACACAAAACCTCAACAATACCCCGAAGTCCTCTAAGGAAATACTAACGTAAGGATATTGTTTTAATTCGATTGCTGCGTCAGATAGGAGTGGAGTCATCAAATTACCTAAATGGCACGCAATAGTAATCACACGGAGACATACTCGTTAATGTTAGTGTCTAATTACAGAGGACCTAATGTTGACATAATCCGGACTTTTATCTAGAAACGAATCTTTTTTCTTTTCATGAATGAATGCTAACAGCATTTACGATAGAAAGATGTTTGATATTGGAAAAACACTAAATAGGTTGAGATGAAGACGGGAAGAAAAATGTAATAATGGGGTAGTTTCCTAAATTTTATTATAATGTCCGTCTGGTACATTTTTTTTTTAAGGGGGGAAAATCATCGAATGACTGCTCCCGCCTGGGTGAGGCGGAAGGGAGTGTCAGACTCTTACTGACTAAAAACCACCCCGTTCCTTCTCCTGCACGTCGAGCCGGAGCCCCGGTTACCCGTTAGGTTCTCCGCGACCCGTCTGGTACATTAATTTAAAACTTTATACACGTATTTTTTCTTTTCTCACAAAATTAAATACTTTCGACGATATATTAATTTGAAATATCGCGTGACGTCACAGTGTGTCACATTTTGTAGCACGTTATGACGTAACGGCCTCCCACTTCTAAACTTAGCGCCATTTTATCTAAGTATTGCAAATTAATACGAGGAAATAAAAAATATTTAGTTTCTAATACATATTTTTTCATCGTCATATCTAACTGACGGATTAATTAGATTTTTAATTTTGATACCTTAGTAACTACCCAATTGTGATGATTATTTTTGTCCAACATAATCATCAAAAGGCTTATAATACATAATCATTAAGATGGAGATAGGAAGAGAAATAAAATTATTGCCATTATACCTAGGTGTTGTCCAAGACAATGCTTAAATGATATCTGATGAAATACGTCAACGATTTTAATTCAATATGCCCGGTTCAATCTAGAGTGCCTATTTGAAGAAATTCAATGAACAGTTTTAAAAATCTTCATCAATTCAAAGATTTTGGATTGTGATTGGTCATTCATTTTGATAGTTATTCTTAGACTCGTTTCTGGATGAATCTCATTATCCAGTTCTATAATTTTCTTTTCCACCATTAATGCATGGTTATTACAGTCATAGGAACATTAAACTGTATGATACATGCCAACATGAACATATTATGTGGGACAATAAAAACAATATTCTCAAATCCATCGTTAACCTCAATCCGAATAGCATTTAGTCATTTTATTTGTTTCTGGCTGTTAACAATACATTCAAAATATATTTGCAATATAACATTACCTATTTCTTTTATTGTGAAGAATGAAATGTCAAAAACATGAAGCTGACTCTGGAAACTACATTTCTGCTTGACGTAAATAAGTTAATGGCTTAACATAACATAAAATCACGCCTTTAACCCCGAAGGGGTAGGCAGATGTGCATATTATGCCTCTGTACAATGTAACACTCACTCTTCACTATTTATGTTATGAGTCCCATGTAATAGGGGGTGAGCCTATTGCCATATACCGGGCACAACTTCAGACTCCGTGCTACTACTGAGATTTTTTTTAAAACCCAGTAATACTTTGCCCGACCCGGGAATCGAACCCGAGACCCCTTGCCCGGCAGTCCAAGTTGCGACCACTCGGCCAACGAGGCAGTCAAACATGGCTTAAATATTACCATTATACCAAATAACCATCAATCCATATGAGTCCGTAATGGACTGAGTAGCGACTGCATAAAGATAACTAAAAATAATGGTTAAATGACGTAAATATTCTGAGAAAAGCTCAACTAGTAGAGGGACCTCATGAGTAGCTTGCGCGGTCGCGGTAATGACGTCAAGGAAGAGTGCCTCTGTGAATCAAAACTAGGAGAGTTTTTTTAGAATATTTATGTGACTACACCATAATTTTTAGTGAATTCAGTATGTCTCACGATATTAAGATAAAAGCGCCACTGTGTACAAGGGTTGTAAGATAAAAATCTGAATCTAAATTGGGCAAACTATCAAAATAAGTACCTTATGTATCATCTTAGTCATCCTAATGATGTCGCGGAGAACCTAACGGGTTACCGGGGCTGCGGCTCGACGTGCAGGAGAAGGAACGGGGTGGTTTTTAGTCAGTAAGAGTCTGACATTCCCTCCCGCCCTACCCAGGCGGGAACAAAAAAAAGTCATCCTAATGATCAGTTGGAATGCGTCCAATTTTGAACAAGATACACCAAACGACACTCTGTTACTTGCACCCTACCTGCAATAGGTAATTTTGATTCTAATGGCTTTTTCACATTATGCGGGCGGTATAGCCAGTGGGAGTCTTAGCAATGTCGTCAGTCTTCGTAGGAAACCATTCGTTCCAAAATTCACACGCTTCGGATAGTAAATAATATATTGACATAAAACTAAAATCTCTATTCTGAAAACACTATTATTTAGCTGCTACCTCAAGCATGAGCATCTTTTCGTCTATTCCTCATTAATTAAAATCATAACAAAACAAAATACAACCATAAAAGAAAACGTCTGAAGTTCAATTTGAAAAATCGACGTTCTTAGAACTTTATCGTTGTACATAAATA